GGGGCACGTGCGGGGTTAATTTGGAGGGGCCGGGGATCGGAGATCCCCGCGGTGGGGTTGGGGGGGTGAAACCCCCACCCCGGCTTGGGGCCCGGGGATCCCCGCGTGACAACACTGACTGGTGCAGACGATGATGAGGTGGAAGATGGACGGGGGTGGCATCTGCGGCGAGGGCAGATGGCGAAATTGAGCGGAGGTGGAAGGCGGAAGATGGGGGCGGAGGCATCCGTGGCGGGGCGGAAGGCAGCGGGGGTGGGGCTGCAGCTGCAGCGAGGACGAAAGGCGGTAGGGGGTGGGGTGGCAGCTGTGGTGAGGGCAGAAGGCCGCGTCGGGCGGAGGCGGAAGGAGGGGGCAAGGCGAAAGATGGGGGGAGGGAGCTGTGGTGAGGGTGGAAGGTGGGGGGGGGAGGGGGCAGCTGCGGCGAGGGGGGAAGGCCCCGTCGGGCGGAGGCGGAAGATGGGGGGAGGCAGCCATGTTGATGGCGGAAGGCGGCAGGGGGTGGGGCGGCAACCGCGGTGAGGGGAGAAGGCCGCGCCGGCTGAGGCGGAAGGTGGGGCCAAGGCGGGAGATGGGGAGAGGCATCCGTGGCAAGGGTTGAAGACGGTGGGGGGTGGGAGGAGGAAAAGCAGTCGTCGTGATGGTGGAAAGGGGGGGGAACATGCCGCAGAGTGGAGTACGGGTTCGGTTTTGTCCAACATACAAAACCGGACCGATAATTTTTATCGGTCCGCTTTTGCCAAACATACAAAACCGGATCAGTTTTGCCAATTGTGCAAAACCAGACCGATAATTGTATCGGCCCGGTTTTGCCAAACGTACAAAACCGGAAAGATAATTTTATCTATCCCATTTTGTAACCAACTGTGGACATGCACATTATTGGTCTGGTTTTGCCAAATGTACAAAACTAGACCGATAATTTTATCTATCCGATTTCGTAATCAACTGCGGACATGCACATTGTCAGCCATGGCCATTTAATCAACAAACTGTGTTAGACATTTCATCAATTAATCAATCAAGCAATTGATTAATCAATCAATCAATCAATCAATCAATCAATCAATCAACCAATCAACAGGAAAAGGGAAGGTGCAGACGGTGATGAGGTGGAAGATGGAGGGGCGGCATCTGCAGAGAGGCGGAAGGCCGCGTCGAGCGGAGGCGGAATGAGGCGTCGAGCGGAGGCGGAAGGCGACGTCGAGCGGAGGCGGAAGGCGGCGTCGGGCGGAGGCGGAAGGCGAAAGATGGGGGCGGAGGCACCCGCGGTGAGGGTGGAAGGTGGCGGGGTTGGGGCTGCAGCTGCGGCGAGGGCGAAAGGTGCCCCCCGGAGGGGCGACAGTTGTGGCGAGGGAAGAAGGCGGGGGGGGTGATATGCAAAACCAGGTCYARTTTTGACTGATTGATTGATTGGCTRATTGATTGACCGATCGACTGATTRATTGTTTGATTGATTGACTGATTGATTGATCGAGCCAGTTCTCTACCCAGTCCTATCGGTARCCCATAGCAGTAGGTGCTACTGGTCCCTACTGGTCCCTCCGATTTTTCAATGTGGGGGGACCGGTGGTTTAACCGGACCGATAATTTTATCGGCCCATTTTCAAACCAACTGTCATTCAGTCTGCATGCCCGCCCGCCTGCCTGCCCACCTGCCTGCCTGCCTGCCTGCCTGTCACCTGCCTGCCTGCCCCCCGCCTGCCTGCCCGCCTGCTCACCGACCCGCCCGCCTGCTTGACTGCCTGCCCGCCGACCCTCCCGCCTACCTTCCTGCCTGTCACCTCCCAGTTGGTTTGCCTGCTTGCCTGATTTGAGCACCCTGTGACAGGTGGTGCACCGTGAAGGCCGGAGAGGGCTATTACGAATCCCTGTGCTAGAAGGCAGAGGGACTGAAAAGTGTAGGGCCAACAGTGCCACAACAGAGCGATGTATATGGTGCAGTTCAGGGTTGGATGCATCTAGCCGACACAACTTCAAAATTAGACCAAGGAGTCCCATTCAAGCTTGTGGGTTACGTGCCTGGCAGGTGGAAGAAGGAAAATGGGGGCGAGACAACTTTTTTTTTTAACTTGATTTTTTTCGTTTTTCGGGAGTGAAAACATATCCTTTTGTATCCCGCATGCTGGCAGGAGGTCCAACACGCATGTTTCATACAGGGCGGTACCGGTACCTCCCCCTTTTTCCATGTGCTCGGGCCTCTTCTTTTCAGGCTCGACAAAATATGGCGCGTATGGTATTTTTAGGCTCGACATCAATAGCTGAGCCAAGTACTGGTGGTTTAAGGAGGGGGAAAAAAAACAACGAAGAAGGGTCTGCGGACTGTCTATGTAGAAGTAGGAACAACATCAGTGAGTTTTACATTTTGAAGTTTGAAAGGGGCCTGTGAGTTCTAAATTCGAAAACGGAAAGGGATCAGGTGATCTACGTATTTTACATTTTAAAGTTGAGAGGCTTCTGTCTGTCTGTGTATCTGTCTGTTTGTGAGTGTCTGTTTGTCAGTCTGTCTGTTTGTATGTCTGTCCATCCATCTGCCGATAGCCCTTGGACAAAATGAGGGAGGTTTAACACTAGGCATAGTATTATAAGCACCTCCCTGTAGTAGCTCCTCCTCTAGCCGCTCCTGTCCATTGTTGGGAGCTATACCTGTTGTGCCAGAATATCCTAGTGTCTGATTTAAGAGACCGGATACATACAATGAGAAGAGACGAAAAGTGCAAAGCTGAAAACAAAGTGGACTTGGAGAAAAATATTTTTCTTGGAAGTCTCTACTGCATGGCCTTTTCGAATTTTAAAATAATTATTATTTTAAGAAGAAAAAAACAGCCGATTATTTCAACTATATTAGCCAATGGAAAATTATTTTTTCAGAAAAAATAGTTGCATTTTTGCAAACTGGACTATTTTTCAAGTCCAGTTTTCACGATTACCTTGTTCTTGTTGGATTGGACTTTGATGAGATCGGGACTGGGTACCGCAGACTCAGCATGGCAGCCTACACGCATGTCCGCCTGTCTTTGTTCTGCTACATGCAACGAATGACGAACACTTCCGGACCTTCCGAAGGTCTGTGAACTCGGCCTTCGATATTGTAGTAGCTACGACCTTTGATCTCTTAAGGGTTGTATCAGATATGATTCCCGAGACCTGCTAAGACCTATAGATGACAGGTCTACAGATTGAGCCTGGGATCTACATGCACTACTGCGAGTGGATGGATAATGTTTCATACAAACAAAGAATATCAGACACAACGGACAAAACACAGACAAATAGACGAACTACAATAGACAGACGCAAATGCAAGCAGACAAACAAGAAAGACACATAGACCTATACACAGTCAGATACGCAATTAAATACATAGACAGAAAACGCAGACGGAAAGATAGATGACTGTAAGCTCGAGGAACTAATCCGGCACAGAGCCACAGCATGAATGTGTGTGAGAGAGAAAAAAAGAGAAAGAGAAGGAAGATGATGATGATGATTGGAGGGCGCGTACCTGGCATTGAGAATGACCTACATCGGTCAACGTCCTCTAGTATTCCGTTGACGGATGACGTCGACTATTGCATTGTCAATTAGTAGGCAGATATTGGCAGTATAGGGACTAGGCTGGGCACTGAATGCCAAGTAGGAAGAAGAGACTGAATACGTGTGTTGGTGGTGGTGAGAGCATACTCTCGGTAATCTTGGGTTTTCAGGGTCACGATTTCTTCATTGGTGATATATTGGTGCAGTGCTGCTCTCTGGACACTGTGATGTGATCTGACTTCCAACGTGACTGTGCATTTTGAATAATATCATCTTACAATTATATTTATTATTATCATTATTATATTATTATTATTATTATTATTGATAATGATAGTTGCCCATTTCTGAATGAGGCTGCAACAGAAGGAAGTTGGGAGGAAGGACTGCTGCTGAAGGGAAAAATTGGAAAGAATGAGAGATAGTCAAATAGACGGTCAGACACCAGCAACCGGACATTCAAGCACAGTTGGACAGATCGGACGCAAGCAGACAAACATGGCACCAGACCAGCAGGAGTGACTTTGATACTATAATGGTATGGCCTATGGGTTTCTATGATGACTTGTTAGTCTTTTTGCTCTAGTTGGGTAAATTATGAGTGTATTCGGGCTCTATGCTCATACATGACCACTTAGTCATTTATGTATTGTTGTTGTTGTTGATGTTGTTATCTGATTCAGCAAATTATAACCCCAGCTAGTGAGGGGAAATGGCCACACGAAGCATTTCGCGGAGGGGTGAGGAGTAACGCCCTCCACAAAGAGTCGTTGCAAGCAGAAAAAGAAAAAAGCCTTGGCGACCTATCGCCAAGTGATTTCCGACTCAAATTCTGACAGCGTCCATTTCGTGGCTACCGGCGATGCAGTGGAACGAAGTCGCATCCGCCATGCGTGGTGGATGGCGAGTAGTGAAACGAGGCCCTGATTTCCTGTCCGAGTACATGGTGAAGAGAAGGCCGCCGCCGTTCCATTCGCTTGCCATCTGCCACAGTCCGGGGAGCAGGCCGGGACAGCAACCACAGCGCACATGGCAGCGGCAATGTAATGGAACCAAGAGCCGTTTTCCTCCAGAAAAATGCACTTTTGGGTCTCGCCAAGTCTCGCCACTGTTTGTGGCGGATGGCGAGTAGTGGAACGAGGCCCTCACACTAGCACGTACTTCCGCAAATTTTACGTATGTGGATTTGCGTTTATATGGCAGTTGCGTTGTCGGCGCGAATACCCTTATAAGGGTATCCGCCCTGGTTTTTGCAAGTGACAGAAGATAAGGTTTGTTCAAAATTTGAGTGTACCGCGCGGAGTCGCGGTTGTGTCTAGCTCGCGTTGACTGAATGGTTGACTGGAAGTAGAGAGTGTGTGGGCGCGCAGTTTCGAGGCGCGCGTGATGATTTTTATTCTTGATGTTACAGAGTCGGCGTTTCCGCTGGTAAAATTTTTAGCTCTAATTAAAACAAGGAGAGTTTTTCCCTTATTGAAGTGACCATGGTGCATCTGCATTCACATGGCTTGCGTTGTCGGGAGTGGCGTTGCTTTGAATAGTAATTGGGACGTGCGAGAGAAAGTAGAGCGCAAGCGGTGACCTCCGCGTGGTAGATGCGGGAGGTTGGCAGTCGTGGACGGAGCCAGGCCCCATGGGCAGCGGGCGTCATAGGTTGGCAGTTGTGAGCCTGATCCGTGGGCAGAGGAGTAGCCTTGATGTATTTTGGTAGGCCCGCGTGCCGTACGGCAACAACTTATATTGATGTTTGCAATAGTCTGTCTCGACCTTAGGTACTAGCACTGTTGATAACGACTTTGTGGCGCCGCACTGTGTGAAGTTACGCAGGCACTGGGCTGACCGTGCCCCCCATCAATAGTAAAAGTCGTTGCCAAAGCCAAGAAGGAGGGCGGTCTCCCGAGAAAGAGGCAGCCTGGGCCTGATGGTCGTGGCATTGCGGGAGTTCGCGCACGGTGGGCCGAGTACAGCCTGCCTCTAAGCCAGCAGAAGCGCGCATTGGGCCGTGGGTTCAGACAACAGCATGAGCAGCAGCCTTGGTGCACCTCTACAGGCCCAGGACTGCTGCGGTTTGCTCGTCATACGCGCGGCTGCGTCTTCTGCAACCAGGCTTGGGCTTAGCCCTATTGGTTATAGCACTAGACTTTCAAGCAGCAGACCCCGGGATCGAAGCGAGCAGCAGAGGAGCGAAGGAGCGTACTTTGGCGAAAACCTGAGGGGTTGAGGGTCCCGCGGGACTATCCCCCTAGGTTTTGCTGGGGAGTCTGACTGCGGGCCCAACAGGCAGGACCGAGGCCCGGTTCCGGCGGTTCCCCTCCCCCTAGCCGCTTTTTCCTAAATTCTTCTCTAGAATTGTTATTATTCTTGTTTTTTTTTTTTTTTTTTTTTCATTATGTATCGTATCCCACTACGGGACGTGGTCCGCTACCGGTCTCAGGACCGGCCGTGACCCCACGCATGAACCGTTGAAGCACGGGCCGAAGAGCCCATCATACATGCTAGTTGGAAGGTGATTAGCCCACGAGGCGGAAGAAACCTGTGTGGCAGTTCAGCGTCCGCCAACCCCGGTCTGCTGTGCAAAGGGTTGAGGGGGAGTATGCCCGTCGGGGCCTGCGAGGCGCAGGACGGGTCACACAGACTCGCCAAAGTCCTAAATGTACCATTTGTGGGCCTGTTGACAGGCAGCCTGTGTGGCCGAGGGACAAGGGGAATTCACGGTCAACAGCTCTTGCACCGATTGTGGGTGGTGTTGTGCGACCAGCAAAATACCAAGTCGCTGCTACCGCGGACAACCCGGGCCTTGTCCCATCTGAAAAGGTACAGTAGTGTGACCTGTCCATGCCCAAAACTTCAGATTGACCTGTCCCAGATCTGCATATTTTGCGGATTTGGGGCGCAGTGTGAGCATGCCCGTTGGGGCCAGAAAGATGGTGTACTGTGCCAGGGCGGAGCGGCCCAAGGCACAGTGGGGAGGCACGCAGCTGTTGCCAGCTGGTCACATGGAACCCCCTACACTTCTGTTTTCGTAGTATTCATTTGAATATTTGCTGATACCACCATGGCACCAAGATATGCACTAGTGTCCGCTCCACCCAGGCATGCGCTGCAGCTGTTGCAGCAGGCCAGCGCCCTCCTACTCATTGCAGTGACGGAGTCACTATGTCGGCCGAGCATAGGCTGCAAATTTCAGCATCATCCGGTTCGGGGCTGATTGATCCAGCAAGTGAGTTGTGCTGCACTTCTCAGCAGATTCCGGCTTCAATGTAGGGGTGTGAGCATGGCCGTTGACACCGGGAAGAGGCGAACCGTGCCAGGGCGGGGCGGCAGAAGGGGCTGTGGTGGAGGCCGCAGACCGTGCACAGCTGTGCACGCGGAACTGGTCCCCACCTCG